CGACGTTGTCAATAATAACAAATATTTCTACAAAGTTGTGGATTATTCAGTTTCTTGTTAGAATCGTGTTTTTCGTATTTTACAAACATTGTGGAATATTTCGTGTTAGAATCGTGTTTTTCGTGTTACAAACATTGTGGATTATTCAAAAATTCAAATTCGTGTTACAATCGTGTTTTTCGTGTTTTCAAAAACGTTGTGTACAATTCAAATTCGTGTTATAATCGTGTTTTTCGTGTTTTCAAAAACGTTGTGTACTATTCAGATTCGTGTTACAATCGGGTTTTCACAAATATAGGAATACCTATTCAGTTTTTATTACATTCGTGATTTTGTCAACCGCGTCCGATTCTCAAAAATGGCTACTATGCAAGCAATTGAAAATAGACGACACTACGTGTTTACTCGCGTCAAGGATCTACTCAAGTTAGGTCAGACGGCTTGTGTTGATTCAGAAAAAGTTACTGACTTCAAATTTAGATATCAAGGTATGCGTGAACTCGTGACAAAATTTGAAGCTTTGCAGATGGACATGGTGTCGATGGTGGACCCTGAAAACTTGAAAATTCAGGATGAAATTCAACGGGAATTTGACGACGTGCATTACTCAATAGAGGGTATTTATCGTGATCTTTTCCCACCTAGCAATCGCAGCTCTGTTAGTTCAGACAGGGGTTCTGTTGTATCTTTACATTCTGTTCGAAATAATTCAGAATCGTGTTTCAAGGTCAAACTGCCTAAAATCGAGGTACCAAAATTTGACGGGGATATAAACAAGTGGCCGGTCTTTTATGATACGTATAAGAGACTCATTCATGATAATGTTAGTTTGTCTAATATCGAACGTTTTCAGTATTTGATTTCTTATTTATCTGGTGAACCATTAACCATTGTAAGGAAGTTACCGACTACAAGTGATAATTATGAAATTTCTTATAAATCATTAGTAGATAGATATCAAGACAAACGGGTCTTATTAACGCGTTATTGGCAAGGCATTTTCAATGTAGAATCTTTCAGTGGGAACGCAGCTTCTGCACTAAGAAATCTTTTATCCGTGTTTACAGAAAACTTAGCAGCTATTGAGACTTTTGAAGTAGACATGTGGGATTTTACAAAATTAAATCTATTACTTCAGAAATTAGACAACAAAACGAGAAATGATTTCGAAATAAAATCTGGTGGGTCAACAATACCTAAATTTGAGGATTTGTATTCCTTCTTACAGGAAAGATGCAAGGCTTATGAGACTACAGTTTTAACTTCTAATGCAACCATAGCAAAGCCACCTAAACCTTGGCGAAAATCGGAAACAGGAGTGTCTTCTGACAAACAAATAATTTCGAGATCCAATTCTAGACAAATTTCGTCCTTTGCTACTAATACAACCCCATCATGTGTCTATTGTAAACGAGATCATTTTCTTTCAAGTTGTAGGAAGTTTTTGGCATTGGATGTTCGCGATCGACATTCTTTCGTAAAACAAAATAGATTATGTTTCAACTGTCTTTCAGTGTCCCATTCGATTTCAAATTGTTCTTCTAGGTTTAATTGCAGGCAGTGTAACAAGCGACATCACACAACTTTACATTTTTTCGATTCTGGAACTTCTGCTGTGGCTTCGGAAACCCCACCTACCACTAGCAACGATCAGCCTAGCTCTAGTTCGGTGAATGTTATGACTAGTCTTTTTTCATTCAAACAATCTGTGTTACTTGCCACAGCAATCATACATGTGCAAGGTGCTGATGGGCAATACAAAAAATGTCGTGCTCTTCTCGATTCAGGTAGTCAGGCAAGTTTTATTACTTCCGATTGTGCTAATCGTCTGGACCTTCCAAAATCCTTGACATCCTTATCCGTTCAAGGTGTCAATCAAATGACGTCATCCACATTGGGAACGTTAAAGTGCTTGGTGAAACCGCCTAACGCATCGGCCTTCGAAATCGAAATGATTGTAATACCAAATATTTGCAACACGGTGCCATCTTCTAAGAAATATTTTCAAAGTATAAAATCCATTAGCCATCTTTCTCTTGCCGATCCTGACTGTGGAGGTTCGGGTGTTGTAGATATCCTGTTAGGTGCCGATGTATATGCTCGCGTGTTGAAACCCGGTCTCATTAAAGGGAAACAAGGAGAACCAAGTGCCATTAATACAATATTTGGTTGGGTGCTGATCGGTCCAACATCAACCCACTCTGAATCTCTCGTACATTCATTTCATACTTCTGTGAACGATTCTTTAGACGTGACATTGAGAAAATTCTGGGAATTGGAACAAATCCCAGAAAAAAACATAAATTCTCCCTCAGATGAGTTGTGCGAACAAATCTTTGTGGAAACGCATCGTCGTGATACGACAGGTCGATATATTGTTCATTTACCTTTCCAAGATAATTGTCATTCTCTGGGTGATTCTTACAATATGGCATTGCGTAGATTTTTGGCTTTGGAAAATAGGTTGGAAAAGGATTCGT